TTCAAGCAAAAGTGTTAGGTATGACAATTAGTAGAAAACCTTTGGATAGACTTCTTAAATAGATAATATAGAAAAGTTATATGTGTAACCAATTGTACTCTCTTTTGTAGTGATTTATAGAATCACATTACCAATAAACAATTACTAAAAGTCAAAAAATCAAAGAGGTCACCTTAAAAAAAAAAAAAAAAAAAAAAAAACAATGTACAATAAATATATCCCAACTAACAATACATATTTCATAATAAGAAAATTAAAACAATGCATTTTTTTTAATTAAATGAATAATAATAAACAATGCATTCAATAAATTAGAAATATTAACCTAATTTCTGAATATAAGAATACAAATAAGATAAAGGAATTAACTAGTATAAGCATGTGTTTAAAGAATAATAACTATGAATAAATTGATATCAATTGTCTTCATTTTTTTTTCCTTATAAATATCTATGTTATTTATATTAGACTTCTCAAATTCCTTATTATAAAATATACTTTTGCTATTCATGATGGCAACAAATTGTACATTATAAAAAACATTTTCTCTAATTAAATCAGATGAAAAAATCTTATAAACGTATCAGTTTAATTTTCATGTTATTCAATCCACTTGACGAATTTAACACTTTGGTTACATTGTAATTGTTTAAATATCAGAATATTGAATTCTACTACCAAATGACTGGATTCGGATAAATTAACTACAGCTGACCCTCTTTATTATGAACTAGCTGCAATCGTTCCTGAGAGTATAATAGAATAATCAGCCTTAATAAAATAGTTACATGCACAAAATGAATTAGTTAGTAATTTAACTAATGAAAATTTTAAAGAGTATCTGTTAGGTGAAAATATTGCCAAAAAATCCCACGTTTAAATTCTAACTTGCAATCCAGCGGCTCTTACGGTAAAAAATTTTGAAAGTTCCTTATAGAGCAATTTACTATATTATATCGAATTCTATAATGATAACAATTTTTTGAAAAAAATTCGGTATTATTGAGGAATTAAAAGGTTCGACGGCATATACGTTATTTTCTTTATCGTTAATGGATCAAAATTCGAACATAATCTATTTTTTTTTATATGCTGCAGCTGCGGCTCGTGTAACTGGCACTATGGGTCCCTGTTCTCAAAAAGTACTTTAAAGTGTATAAATAAGTTACCCGGGCAATTGATCTGCATCAGCCAATCAAGTAAATGTCGTTCTATGACCTCAGGGATCTCGCGACAAATTTTAGACGCGAATTTTTTTTGGCTACGTATTTCTGCATTCGGAATGGCATCACACCGGTAGTGTCTATGCTACATAGTGGAAATATAAGAAGCCACGGTTCCAAAAGAAGCAGTTTAGAAATAAGTAAGTATTTTTATTATTAGTTCGTAAGTTGTAAATCCTTCAGGCTACTTATTTGTGTCAGTGGCCGGCCGGAGGGATTAACGCGGACGGATGTGCCTTCTGGAGTTGGATGCGATTTATCTAAAAAGAAACTGCTACTACCAAAATAATATAGCTAGTAGCACTTTCTTTTTAGAGAAGATCCACAGAAGAAGGTGGGATGGATGCGGGCCGCTCTTAGTCGGACTCCGGAGGAAGTGGTTGTCAAGACGGTCTGTTTCTGGCACGATTGGTAGTTTGATGCAGTTCCTGGAATAAGTCTACTAGTTCTGATTAGGGACAGTTACAATTTTCTTATTCCGTAAAAGGAGCTTGTATACTATGAACGAAAATAAAATTACGCTTACTTAATGATCATTATTATTAACAAATTTTTTTATTATATTAGAAATAAAAAGAAATAGAATCATGCATCTCTAACATCTAAAGTAGGATATAAGTTTTTATATTTTTTATTTGAAATTTATTCTTAAAATAGTAACTAACATTTTTTTTCGTAGATTTTTGTTTCATTGAAGCATTTGGAATGAAATAGGCGCTAGAATAGTTAAACCTGAGCAAAGAACTAAAATGGTCGAATGAGTATTTTTTTTCGATCTCGTTTTTTGTTTTCTTTTAAGTAAAATTCACCACATTTTTTTGTAGATCTTTGTTAATTTGAAATGTGTATTTTAACGAGAAAACGGCAACTTGGATAAGTACTAGTTTCATTTTTTTAATTAAAGGATCATTGGGGGGTTTTTTTTTTTTGAAATATGAACTAACATTCTTTTCTTTTACAGACTTTAATTTGTTAGAACAGTTAGAATGCGAATACTTAAAGCGAAAAATAGTATTTGAAGAATTTGAATTAATTTAGGTCAGTATAATGAAAATTTATTAATATAAGTGGTTATAATAAGTTACTCAAATTCATGAATATTAATAATTTAAATTTATTTTGTTCGCTTGATTTAGGGTGTGACTATAAGAAAATTCATCAATTTACGTTTAAAATAAGCCATTCCGATTCTCAACTATTTAGATTGTTTTGTTCGTGTTAAGTAGTGTGATTATTTAAGTGTTTAAAATAAGCTACTCAAGTTCATGAATATTTACCAAGTTCTTTTTTTTTTTAATTTTACTGTGACTATAAGAAAATCTGTTAATATGCGTTTAAAATAAGTGTACATTATGAAAGTTATAAATCTATGTATTTAATATAAGTTATTTTGGTTTATGACTATTTAATTTCAATTTGTTCGTGTTAATTTAAGTGAGTATGATAAAAAGTTTACTAATTAATTTAAGTATAAAGAAAATTTGCTAATCTACGTTTTAAAATAAGCTATTCGCAAATACCGAAATTAAGCTACCTTTGAAAATCCTTACTTTGGTTAAAAACCTAATACCCGAAATAAACTATTAATTTTTGCCTGAAAATCTATAAAATTTATAGTTCCGAAAATAAACTACCTGTATAAAAGTTATAACCTCTCAGATCTTAACCAATCAAACTCTAAATAGTAGATTAAACCTGCGCATATAGTAAAGTGGTTAAATGTATAGTGGCATTAAACGCCTATATCAACTTTACTGCCCACTGTGATTATCCTGCCATCAAAAGTATTTTTTCAGGTTCAATAAATTTTATATTAAAATGTGTGATAAATATAATTTAATATGTAAGCCAACTATTAAGAATCTCAAAAGCATTTTGTAAATTTTCCAGGGACCCTTCAAATTAGTGAAACCTCATTATTCAAAGAAATTGAACAAGAAATTCACTTATTAGGGGGTTTCAAAGTTAACAAATAAGAGGCTCATTTTGAAATTAAATGAGAGTTTGAAAAATATTATTCGTATTTCAAAATTTTAAAATCGGAAAATGGAATGGGAATCTGGAGATTAGAGATGGGCAAATTTATTATCGTTATGTATTCTTATTTAAAATTACTTAATGTTATCTAATTTTTTGAACATTAAGTATTAAGTCATTCTACGATAATTCTATTTTTAGCGATAAAAAAATTCGCATGTTTATTTAATCTCAGCTTTAATTAATATCATTTCTTACCATTATCATCATGTGATAGTATAAGTAAGAATTGCTTAACATATTACTTTGCCCATCCCTACTGGAGATTATTTCAAATTTATTTGAAAATTGTAGCGAAAGCAAAATCTTAAAAATTATTTTTATAAATTTTATTTTAATGATCAAGATACAAATAAGATAGAGATCTTGTTTTACTAAAAACTTTCTTTAAATCATTATCAATTTTTGAACTAAACTGATTTCTGATTAAATTCAATTTAGTTAGTGTATTGTTTACACAGAGAGACTTTGCCAATTCTTCACCTCCCAAAGAACCAATATTATTATTACAAATATTTAAACAAGTTAAAGTAGTATTTTTGTAAATTGCATTTGCGAATGCTTTTCCTCCCTCATATCCTAGTTGATTTGAACCAAGATACAAAGAAGTAAGCGTAGTGTTGTTGCCAAGAGCCTCTGCTAATGCTTTTCCACCTTCTGAATCAATCCGATTACCAAAAAGATCTAGAGAAGTCAGAGTAGTGTTGGTACGAAGAGTGTTTGCGAATGCTTTACCTCCCCTGGAGCCAATTAGATTATTACAAAACTCTAAAGAGGTTAATGTAGTATTTTTACAAAGAGCCTCCGCTAACATTTTTCCTCCTTCATAGCCAAATTTATTTAAACTAAGATTTAAAGATTTCAGTGTGGTATTCTTGCAAAGAGCATTTGCAAATGCATCCCGTCCCTCAGGACCTATTTGATTATTACCAAGGTTTAAATAAACCAATGTAGGGTTTTTACAAAGTGCCCTTGCCATTGCTTTTCCACCTTCAAAGCCAAGTCGATTTGTATAAAGATCCAAAGAAGTCAAAGTCGTATTATCATAAAGAACCTCGGCTAATATTATCCCTTCACTTTCGCCAAGTTGATTATTGCCAAGGTTTAAAGAAGTTAGAGTAATATTTTTGCCAAGAACTCTTGGTAATACATTAATATCATTACTCGAAATATCTAAAGATTTTAAGGAGGTGTTTTCATGAAGTGCTTCTATGAGCACTTCTCCTCCTTGTGGACCAAGTTTATTACAAGCAAGATTTAAGGATGTCAGAGTAATGTTTTTGCAAAGAGCTCTTGCAAAAGCACTGGCTTCTTTCTGTTCAAGTTGATTTACACTAAGATCCAATGATGTTAATGCAGCATTCTTAGTGAGAGCCTCTATTATCGTATTTTCATCTTCGATTTGGATCATATTATTGCGAAGGTTTAATGAGTTTAGAGTATTGTTTTTGCAAAGAGCTTCCATTAACACTTTTCCTCCTCTGGGGCCAAGTTGATTAAATTCAACATTTAAATACTCTAACGTTTTGTTCTTACATAGAGCCCTCGCTAACGCAACTCCACCTTCAGAACTAATTTGATTTTCACAAATGTTCAAAATTTTTAATGTGGAGTTGTTGCAGAGAGCTTCTGCTAATTCTTCGAATTCTTTGGGATCTACTTCAGTATAACCCAGGTTCAAAGAAGCCAGAATAGTGTTAGTACGAAGAACCCGTACTAACATACTCACTTTATCACAGTCTATTGATTTAAGTTTCCTGCTTGTTCTAAAAATCGTTTCGAGGATTGGCTCTTTTATTGCATTCATGAGACCTAACCTTCTGTATCTATTATTACGGATAAAATCCTCGATTCCTATTCTTAATTCACCAATATTTATTGAAGTAACGAAACTTAAATAGTCGTACAATGGTGCAGGCGTGTTCGGAAGCTTAAGTGACTTCAACTGTGCTTTTTTTTCGGCGCTAAGTACCCGAAGAATAATTTGAACAGTTTTTGAATTTGTGAATATCGGTTCACTCCACAATATGGGAACTATAATTCTACACCATTGACGGTTTACAAGAAGGCAAGAAAATAGTGCTCCATGGTTTGGTTTAAGAAAGGTAAAAATTAAAAGTAGTAGTTCAACCGGAAAAGCAATCATTTTTTAAAAAATATTAATGTTTAAAAGTTTAAAAAAGTTTGAGTTTTTGATTTTCAACCTTTGATATGCGGTAAAGAAAGTTTAAGTTTGATTTTCAACCTTTGATACGCGTAATTATTATTTGAAATGTCATGAAACAGCGAACCCATATCGGTATATTTATTGATTTAAATTATAATTATTAATGTCTATCGCATATAGTATTTAGTTTTATAAGAATAATCTATATATATTTTATATCTAATTCTACGTATCTACTTAAATTTCCAATTTTTATACCATATTACGTATACGTATAGATACACATTAACACGTAGAAGTTTATACAACAGCCCTAGCATCAGCTATAGAAAAAAGCACACTGAATCTGTGGCAATAAAATCACAAGATCTTGTGTAACCAAAAAAAGATTCGAAAAAGCATTATGAAAACAGAAACTAAGGTTTTACTATGATAACCACACGGTTTGACTTCTAAATAAAAGGTTTCAGCACGATATTTTAATTATATGGCGCTAAATTCTAAATTCTGATCTCCGATTTGGTAATCGGCATAACCTGTCACACATTCAGTACGCGCTAGAACCCTAGTCATGGCGAAAACGAGGTGTCGGTCATGTGATTTCCGACGCTCTGAATGATCATCCACCAATTAAAATCCAGGATCTGGTGTAATGTGAAATTTTACAAACCGAAGTTTTTTTAAAAATTGCAAATAGCTCAAAATTTTGCTTATTAAATCACCTTTTGTGCTCTAATTAAAAATTTTTTTGCAAAATTTTACTATATAATACGATTTTTTAACCCTAAATATATGGTTTTTTTTTTATTTATATAGCATAGATAAAAATCCATTGATTGATTAACCAAATGTTGTGCTGCATATGTGTAACAAATAGTGAAGACCATTTTTTAAAATACTATTTATATATATATGTAATGCATAACTAAGTAATATTTAATTTTTATTAAATGTTATATTTAAAATTATTTAAAATAAGACAAGATTAAAATTTAATAAATAATAAAAATATTTGTCATTGGCAAAATATTTATGTAAATTTGTAAATTTTTTACGGTTTCAAATTCTAAAAATTATATATGTATTAAATGTAATATAACTAATAATTTAATATTTCTTATATAAAATTTATATTTATCTATAATTTTATGTTTTAATTTTTTATTAATTTTAATATATTCTTTTATAGATTCAAAATTTTTTAATATATTTAATTTAGATTCAGGTTGAGTATTAAAATTTATACAATTATTAATATCTTTTTTTATTTGTAATCTTTTATTATATAATTAAAATAATTTTTTAATTAAATTAAAAATATATTTAAAATAATAATGACAAAAATATTCTAGTATTTGAAAATATCTATTATAATAACTATATTTATAACTTAGAACTTAATTATACTTTTATAAAAAATTAATATATTCTAAATAATTATATAATTTATTAAATATAAGACAATAATATAAATAATATCCAAACAATAAAACTTTAAAAGAAATTTTGTTTCAATATTTAGAAAAAAATAGTAATCTTTTTTATATTTTTTTCTTGTCTTATTTCTGTTTTGTCTAACTTTTGGTATAAATTATTAAAAAATTCAATAAACAAATAGCAAATTATTTTATTAAAATATTCAAATCTTTCTTATTATAAGAATACTCATTTTGGAATTTAAAAAATGTAATAAAAGAATTTTTATATTTATAATAATTAATAAATAAAGCATCCTTTTTTAAAGACTTTTTAATTATTATTTTTGCATTAGTATACTGTTGTAATAAATTATAAAAATTTTTAATTAATACTTATCAAAAGTATTAAGATGTATTTTTAAAATTTTAATTATTAGATACTTAATTGTTTTCTAATAATAAATATCAAAAAAAGCCAATATAATTTTATTATAATTGTGTTATTAAAACTTTTGTATTATAGTTTATAATTAAAATATCATACTAACATATGGTTTAAAATAATTTTTTCAAAATAAGTATATATAAATATTCAAAACTGAAGAAATTAAATTATCTAACAAATCCAAAAAAATAACAAATAAAATATCTTTAGAAATTTTATATCTTTTAATAACATATATTTAATTAAAAATTAGTCTATATGCTAGATATAACAATAAGTTTATATATTATAATTTTGGCTTTGTAATAAAATTTTGCTTTTTTTAAAAAGCTTTTTTATAAAAATAATTAAAAAATAAATAAAAAACTTTTTTTTTTCTTATAAGCAGTCACACTAGTACTTTATTGAGTTTTTGAAATTATATTTGTAACTATATAAATATCTTTAATATCTAAGTCTAGCATTACTTAGCCATCTTAATGATATCTAAGTACAACCTGTCACATTACTTTGAATAGAAGCAAGCTACTTGTCTGACTACTTAAAGTCTATAATAAAAAAGTCTTCTTTCTTTTATAACAAGTCCCAAAATTGTCTTTGTTACTTTCTTCTTAACTTGTTTTTTTTTTTCTTATTTCTTTTTTTTCTTTTATTTTTTCTTGATTTGTCTTTTTCTGTTTTCCTGGTTTCTTCAACTTTCCACTTTTTTTTTTTTTACTTTTACCTATTATTCTACTTTTTTTCTCTTATTTAATAATTTTCTTACAATGTATTTTTCATACTTGTTCATAGAATATGTTCTGGGCTGTTATTATTACTGTATTTGCAAACTACTGTCTTGATCTTGTATTTAATAGTTCTACTAGTTTGTCTTGTGTTTTTTTGAAATTAGGTCTTTTATTAGTGCTTTTTTTATTTTAACTTTCTTTGTCTCTATTTTTCTAAAGAGTGCTATATATAGCATATGTAGGGGAATTTGAATCTTTTCTTCTTCTTTTAATTTCTTTTATGCTATTACAATAGTTACTTTTTGGATTCTTTTTCAGAAATTTCTTTGTCTCTTGCATGCTGCCAAGTGTGCTTACATCTTTTTTACTTTATCTTAACATACTTAGCATTCTACTATTATATATATATCTGGACTTCTTCTATTGAGTTCTTCTAAGGTTTAAAGTTTATCTATTATGCATTTGATAAATGCACTTCTTCTGGCACTACTTTTTCTTGTTGTGCAATATATTTCTTTAATTATTTTTAGTCTTTTTCAAAAATAAGTCTAATCATAAATTGTGATTTCTGTTTCTGGTTCTAAATCTTTAATTATTCTTAATTATTTCTACTCTGCTTCTAGTCTTGTATTTATTATTAACTTGTAAAGCTGTCTTGCTAGTATGTTAGTTTGTCTGTTTTTTCACTCTAGGCAGTACTCTATCTTTTTACAACTAACTTTTTTAGTTTGTACTATTTTCCTATTTATTGTTTTCTTTTTTATTAAACTATCAGTTTTATCATTCTACTTGCCTTTACTATGACTTTTAACTTTAACTAAATCTATCTGAATGTTTTTTTCATCTTGATAAAATCTTTAATTTTCATTAATCATATTGCATTTTTCTTCTTAATAATCTTGTTTTTATTTGCTTGTTTTAGACTTCTACCAATGTTTCTTATTGTAGCATTACTATCTGTATATATCTTTATTTGCTTCTTTTTAGGTATTGTTAAAATTGCTATCCAAATTGCTACCAACTCTGCTATTATTGATGTTTGTCATCTTTCTAGTCCAAATGCTAACTCTTCTTCTAGCCATTCTTGCATTTTATTTGTTTAGACCTATTCAATATCTATATTGTTCTTAGATAATGGCTCTTTACTATTTTTTTCATTAGCTATACCATCAGTATATATTATATATTTATTCTTGCTTCTCATAATATTTCTTTTTAGGACTTTTGTTATTTCTTGACTAATATTTTCTTCTAGTTCTTGTTATTTAATAATTTTTATTTTTAGTTCTTCTATTATTGCAAAACCCTTTAATTTGTATTTACTTATTTTGATTTATTTATTTTTGTTTTGTTTATTATTTGGTCTATCACTATTTTAATTTGATTACTATCTTTATTTATTAATCTATCTATTGCTGACAACTGTTTTCTATTTGTTCTTCTTTACTTATATACTCTTCACATCTGTTAATTTCAGTTGCTAGTTTATTTTTTTTGCATTTTATTTGTCAATGTTCGATTAATGCTTTTTTCTTTTTCTTTTTAACTATCTTTCTGAGCTGTCTGTGGTCTTGTGTGCCATATACTATTCATTTTTTCCTTCTTTTATTTTCTAATATATGCTCCAATTTGACTTGCATTGCCTGAGTATTTTGTTTACCCATTCTGAAGTATCTTTGTACTATTCTACTCTTTGAGCTGCTAAGCAATTTTAATTCAATTGCTTTGAACTATTCTGCTTTTTTCTTTTTATTTAATTAGCCTTGGTAGCTTTTTAATTACTGCTATGTAATTAGTTTTTCTCCCCTTATATCAAGTAGTTGGTTCAGATATATTAGACTAACTTCATTTACTTTGACTGCCCCTTTTTTCTACAATTGTATATCTATCAGTTTTTGTATTTTAGTACTATATCCAAACATTGTCTATAGTTCACTTTCTGTTTTAATGTTTATTCTTAGTTTCCTTGCTTTGAATATTGTAAAGTATGCTAAGTTGTTCTTTAAATATGTTTTAATCTCTAGCTATTTCTTTGTCTTTTCATATATTTTTTGTTAAACTTGCTCTTTGACAGCCTTATATTATTTTTAGTCTAGTTAGCTGTCTGAGACTATCTTGTCTGTTCAGTCTTGCCAAAAGACCACTTACTTGCTTTATAATTAATTCTTGTTGCAATATTTTATAGTTGCTAAGAACTTTGTGTTTTATTACATAGTTTTCGTCTGTTCTTTGCAGGCTGTTTTTTTGTTTTGTCAGACTTATTATTAGTTAATGTATTTCATTTAGGCTTCTGTTTGGCATCTTTGTTAGCTGTAATATATAGCTTAGTTTGGGTATTATTACTATATTGTTTATATATGCAATCTGACTCATTGTTATTTTTTTGTACTTTAGATCTTTTATAGTTTGGCTTACTATTCCTTTTACCTTTCTCTTTACTTGTATCTTTCATATTTTTTTGTTTAACTATATTTCCAATAAGCAAACTATTTTATATCTTGGTTATTCTATTATCTTGCTTTTCCTATATATTACTG